TTCCTTTCCTTTCCTTTCCTTTCCTTTCCTTTCCTTTCCTTTCCTTTTTCCTTTTTCCTTTCCTTTTTCCTTTCCTTTCCTTTCCTTTCTCTTCTTTCTTTTCTCTTTTCTTTCTTCTTCTTTTTTATTTTTTTTTTTTTGGGAGATGGAGTCTCGCTCTGTCACCAGGCTGGGTGGAGTGCAGTGGCACGATCTCCACTCACTGAAACCTCTGCCTTCCGGTTTCCAGTGGTTTTCCTGCCTTAGCCTCCTTAGTAGTTGGGACTACAGGCGTGTGCCACTGCGCCCAGCTAATTTTTGTATTTTTAGTAAAGACGGGGTTTTACCATGTTGACCAGGATGGTCTCGATCCCTTTGAGCTTGTGATCCTTCTGCCTCAGTCTCCCAAAGTGCTGGGATTACAGGCGTGAGCTATTGTACCCGGCCAAAGTGTAAAATGGTATTCTGATTTTGTAGACATTTTGGGTTTTCAAAGTCCAGGTGTACTGTTTACTTTCTAGAAAATTTGGGTGTTATTTACTTTAAGGAACATAGATGTGAACATAGAATAACTGAACTTGATCCCACAGTGAATTCATTAGTAGGTTTTTTCCTGTCTGTTTGTCCTCCACACCACATATTGATACAGAACACTTGAGGGCTTTCTCTATGGCTTTAAAAATGGATAGCAGGAAGAAAATACCAACCTGAAAATATGATGGCAATAGGATAATACTTGGTAGATATTTGAGTCGAACAATTAGTAAAGGAAGTAGAACAATTCTGTTAGTTATGGACAGGGAGAAGCATGAAGTCTAAAGAACGGCAAAACCAAAATAACTTTTACAAATGATTTTCCAAGTTATGGTAAAGATATCTTTGTGTGCTTGGGTGTATATACATATTGCTAAGCTTGGATACAGTTTTGTAAAAGTGTGTGTGTTTAAGCCACCTTCACTACCTACTCTGAGACAAATGGCTGTGTGATAGTGGGTATATGGTCTGATGATAGTTATTAGAAACAACTTTTAAGTCATCCAAGACTAGCATCCTCTATTTTCCCAAGAAGATAATATGTACTTTTGACTTACTTTGGATTTGGTCTTCTGACCTGTACAAGTAGAATCTAGGGGATTCCTTTGCTAAGCTACTAGCTTAATAAAAGTTATTCATATAACTCCTGTTCATACAACTTTATGATTGGCACCCAAACAACCACTTAGTGGCTAGCTGGATATCCTGTTGGCCAGTAACTCTAATAACTTGTTGGAGAAGTATGTAACAGGTGAAAGAGACTTTTCTAGAGCCTCTAGTACATTTTATCTTTATTGCAAAGATACTCTGATTGTGGTAGCAATGCTTCTTTAGTCATAGGGAGGATAATGTAGTAGAAAAAGAACAAGAAATCAAATGAGTGATTTTACTTAAGCTATCTGAACCTTGGGCCCTCATATTTAGTAGTGATGATAATCCCGTAACAGGGCTGTCATGGGAAACAGATGATAGGGTGCAAGTGTTTTGTAGTACTTTATAGTTTGTAAGACAGTCTTAAGACACAGCAACATGTATGTAAGCGTGTACCAGTGTGACTACTTGTGTTATTATGCTATTATATATAATGCATATATTTGCAATAAACAGTTACGATTTTTTTCCCGTAATGTGGACAGAGATTTAGTTTGGCCAAGGGTAGTAGGCAAGTTTTAAACTTTATCTGTAAAATGCTGCTAATATGTTCATGATAGGCTTATTGTAAGTGTCAAACGTGTTAAAAGTGCTTAACCCACTTCCAAGTATTCTGTTGAAGGTAGTTATTACTAAAATGGGTGGTTATTTAAGAATAAATAAACTTTGAACTACAAATAGACTTTGAACTAAAAAATGATTTTCAAAATAGGCAACTTGGAAGGTGTTTGTTCAATTTTTAACATAAGATGTGATTATGTATTCATGCTTCTTAGCTGTCTTCATTTTAATAAACGTGCATTTTAGATAATCCTGTGGCAAAGTAGTTATGGAATTATTTCAGTTACAGGATTTCATATGAGTTAATTTTGTATTTTAAGGTTATGGCAGCTTCCAAGTACAGTTGTCCCTTGGCATCCATGGGAGGTTAGTTCCAGGACCTCCCTCTGTTGACAGAATGCAAGGATGCTCCAGTCCCTGGTGTAATATGGTGTAGTATTTGCATATAACCTATGTGTATCCTCCCATATACTTTAATCTCTAGATTATAATACCTAATAC